CCCCCACCCACACCCACACCCACACCCACACCCACACCCACACTTGAAATCGATATCCTTAGTGATATAGAATCATTTCTAAGAAAATAGAAACCCTTTTTTTATTCAAAATAATCGTATGTCCTCTTGGTCATGCGAAAACTCTATACTGTGCAAGATATGTATTCCCAACTGATTTCATTTATTTCGTTTTTGTTTTGTTTCACTTCTTTCTATGAATCAATGTTATAGCTTTAGAAAACTTCAAAGTTCTAACAGCAACAGATGGATGGATTGTACACAATCGTAAATATCTATCCAAATGTCACTATGCTATACATATACTTCGTCATGAAGGCAACTTTAAACGTCATACATATCATGAATTACCAGGGCAATGCTGTTCTTGCAATGAAAAAACAGGTAAATATTATTGATAAATAGGTTTCTTATTATTATTATTACATTAAAAAATCAATCATATATTTTTCTAACCACATGAAAAGTGTCAAATCGAATATGTCTACTTTTACTTTAGGTTTGAATGTAATCGATTTGAGTATACTCCGTGACATATGTAATAAAATTGAATCAGAACAATTGGTTAGAAAAGTTTCAGATGAATCTGCTTATTTCTTGGCTCTTACATTCAAGCCAGAGCTTTCTTTAAAAGCACGCCGTATAAAAGCTGGTCGTTTTATTCGAAAAAAAGGTCAACATTTACGTGCTTTACAAGACAAACACAACATTCGTGTGAACATTATCAATGAGTTTTCTAGCAAGAAACTTCATGAAAAGTTCATTGAAGTGCAAGATAATAGTGAAAAACAAAATAGCGATAACGATGACGAAATCTATTTGTTATTCACGACAAGGAATAAAGCAATAGAAAGTACGATTTCCATGGATGAAATCAAGCAAAAAATAGCTGAGAAATGGAACAATACAAGCGAGATTATATTAACCGATAGACAACTTTGTCCTAAGTCTAATGCATAAAATATATAAAAACCTGAAACACTGCACTATCGATTGAACTACTAGGATTTGATGATGATGGATGAACTCCAAAAATTCATGTAAACAAGAAAGCATGCGCAAATTATTTCGATTTATTACCATAAACACGCATTTCATCTTAAAAATTATCTAGAACTGTTCATCAAAAGTCAAAAACTATTCACCACTAAAAAAGGATGCCATTCAGCATCTGAAAATAACTCTTTATCGTCTATGTGTACATATTAATTAATATTGATAGAATAAGCTCAAGGTTGGTTGTTTCGTGATCCCTATAACGGTTATTTGTTCTCGTGTTCATTTGTAGATATAGTTATGTAGAAAAAACCTTCATCCATAGGCACACTTATTATGCTGTAGTTGAATCATAATGTCATATATCTTATATGATTATCATTCTTTACATACATAAACGATAATGTTTAAAAGACGTCTATTACAGATTTCACTAAGTGGAGGGTGGGTGTGGGTGTAATTGAAGATTATACACACACTCACACCTAAACACCCACATCCACACCCACACATACCCAACCGTCCCCCCTCCTTTTCGCTATATCCGTAATATCCATCTTCGTTTAAACCACTGCACTAAAATCAAGCGCACCAAACTTTCCACGAAAGTTGTAATTTAATTCTACGTCCTAATAAAAACAGCATTTTTCTACATATCGGTCTCTTCTCCCAAATAGATGAAAAGAAATGAATTTATATTTCTCATTCAGATAATTCTACATAAAAAAGCAAACTTGGACAATTATCGAATAATATTCCATATTCGAAAATTTTCCGGATGAGTTCCTTAAGCAGGAACAAAATGATCATCGTAAGTAACTCAGAATAGTCTACGAAACAGACTCACACCCACACTCTAATTTATGAAATCATGCACTGTTTCAAAAAACTACCTGAAGATTGACCCTTGAGAAAGTTCGAAACTATAGTCGTAGTTTATTCTTGAATATAATATAATTCACCGACACACAGAAAAGTGAAAATTAACTAAACTAAAAGGTAGAATAACTAAAAGTTGAATTTAGCTAAATAAAATGAATAACTAAATCCATAAAAGTAATACTGAGTTAATGTCATGTAATATTAATAATAAAATGAAATTGTTTTTAGAATACCGAATCCGAATCCGGAGATTAATTGATTAAATTAATAATTTATAATTGTATGCATTCGCGCTAGATACAGTGTATACATTTCCTTTTACTGTGTAAAGAAGACTGCCAGTAGTTATATTCCATACATTTATCGTTGTATCAATAGAACCACTTGCTAAATTACCATTGCTTCGTAATAAAATTTCGAAAATAGGACCAGTATGTCCTGTTAACGTACGTATTAGAGAGCCATTATTTGGATTCCATATCTTTATTGTGTTATCATTAGCACCACTAGCCAAATAACCATTGTTTAATAGTTTCAAACATATTACAAAATCGGTATGTCCTGTTAATGTTTGAACAAGTGACCCATTATTTGGATTCCATATTAATATTCTTCTATCACCACCATAATAACCGGCATGGGCATCTTCATAACTAGATGCGCTTGCTAGATATCCATTACTTAATAATTCAAAGTAATTTACAGGACCTGTATGACCAACTAAATTAAAAACAAGATTGCCAGTAGTTGTATTAAATATTTTTATTGTATGATCCCAATCACCATTGGCTATGTTACCATTAGGTAATTGTATCAAAGCGAGAGAAGTAACACTCACTGATGATTTAGTTATTAATGAACCAGTCATTGGATTCAATATTTGAATTTGGGCAAACCAAGTGCCAGTTGCTATGTAGCCATTACTTAATACTATCAGTGGTACAATATCATAATAATTGCTTATATTAAATTTGTTTACAAGTTGTCCATTAGATGAATTCCAAACGTTTAACATATTATTTCCACATTTACCAACTATATAACCGTTTGGAAGTAATCCAAATTTTACATCGGTATTATTGCTTGAGCAATTTAATGTGCGAATAAAAGAGCCATCATTAATATTCCATATTTGGAATACACCATCAGCACTACCACTTAATACACTGTTATTATTTAATTTACGCAATTGTTCAATTAAGATTTTATGACCAGCTACATTAAAAATCAGTGAACCATTTTTTGAATTCCATACGTTTATAGAATTATCAGCAGCAGTACTAGCAAAATAATCAATAAGTGGTGGAGTAGGAGCTAGAGAATAGAAAAAATCACTTTTTCTATGGTTCAGAAAACATAAAACGAGTCACTGGAAGTTCTTTTACCTGCTGCAATTGCTGGACAAATCAGTTTGTTTGCCAAAGCCAGTGGGTAGCAGACTGGCTGACCACAGCGTGTACTATTGACACAGACTGTGTTGTCGATGGAACATGTCACATTATTCAGATTGCATCGTACAACACTTGTACAGGGCAAAACGGCTGAGGCACATATTGCTGCACTTGCATTCGATGTCAACGAAAAACATTCACAGTCACGGTTAGACGAACATGGTGTTCGTTGAGAATTGCATGCAGTGAAATTGCATGTTGCTATTGTTGTGTTAGCTGAGAAAAAAACATATTGAAAAAATAGAGAAAAGTGGAAGTAATTCCCAGCTACCTACTTGATTGTTGTTGTTGTGAAGTGTTTCTATTACACAGAAAATAAAGAAAGCCTGTAATATGTGAAAGAAGATGTTTGACACTTACACGAAAGCCAGGGCATACAGTAAAAGTGTGAAGATCAAAGTCGAAATTTTCTTCATGGCTACTAGTATTCTGAATCTGCAAGATAGAAACTGCCTACTTTTCAACTTCGTTAGACATTCATTATATAGACGTTGTTGGGCACAAGAAAAAATACAAAACTTTATTATTTAAAAACGCAATTATTATATTTTCTTTCAAAAAAACCAGCGAGGCACACTTTGATACAGTTAATCGTCTTTTGATACTTCGATTGTTTACGAAGCGAGAGAAAAAGCTATTTAAAAATCTAGAATCTATTTATTCATGCGCTCGATTGATGAAAGAGAAAAAGAACAAAAAACAGGCCCACCCTACTTCCTCCCCAAAGACCAAAAAAACCTCAAGCAGAGAACAGAAAACACTTATTCCAGTGGTCGCTTTAATTAAAAAGCCTTTCATTATTACAGTCGCCATTTACTATACAATAATATTATTTAGAAGCCGTTTCTACGTCAACAAATCGTTTTTTTCATCCACTCTTTGCTAAGCAGATTCATGTGATGGGTCCAGGTTCCTGACATCTGCTGACCGGTTCCTGCCAGAAAATGCTAGGATTTGGAAGCTAGAAAGCGATGCCCGTGGCAGACGGTCGATTATGCGTCGGTTCTGGCCGGTTCTCTCCGGAAACAGAAAAAAAAACAGTTGCTGGATCCGGACATCGTATTCCTACTTCTATATTCCGGGCGTTTCTCGAGTTTTCCAGCCATAGTCGGCTCGACCGCTTTCACCTGTGCAAGAATGCAAACAGTGTTCTAATGAGTATTATGAATTGAAAAATCGTTAATGAAATTATTTTTCGTGGAATTTTGTGGGTGTGGGCGTGACCGTGAGACAAAAGCTGCGTGTTCTACAATCCACTCATCATGCTCACCCATACCCCGCTCCACTTTTTATACCCTATACCGGCTACCAGTACGAAATCCAGGAGTTGGAGATCGTGGTTGGGTTCTCATATATATTGATTTTGTTTTCTTTCTTTTTATTCGCTATATTAACGGCTAGAGAGATTCGAGACACTTACGCATTAGTGACTGGCCCAGGGTCATTACATGATTGTTATTACCGATGTTCGAACTCGGTAGCTATCTAGGGTGTCGGTGGGTGTGGATGTGGATGTGTGTGTGGGTGTGAGTGTGGATGGGTGTGGGTGTGGGTGTGGGTGACTGTTCAAGAGAAAATATCCACACCCACCCACACCACCACACACCCACACTCACACCCACCACACCCACACC